TGCCCCAGGGCCACATGGATGTGGCCAAGAGCCTGGGGTGGGCCTGGGGACGCTGCGGGGTCCTCACTTGCTGGTGGTGATGTACTCCTCCAGCTTCTCAATGCGCTTCTGGTTCTCCTCGATCTCCCGCAGCTTCTGCTTGATCTTGGCCTGAGGACAAGAGGCTGGAGCTGAACGGGGTGACCATGGAAAGGGACACACAATGGAAGGGGCTGGGTTTGGGACCTCACCTCAGTCTCCACTTTCTTCCTCTCCTCCAGATCCAGCCGATCCTGGTCAGCTTTTTGGTCCCGGTTGAACTTCTCCAGCTCCTGGGCCAAGGTGGCCGCACGTTTGCTGGCCTCCTCCTTCAGCCGATGGTACTTCTTCACCTGCAGAGGGACCAACGTCACGGGGACGGCCCCGACACCCGCTCTGGGGGCACCAGGATGAGCCCTACCTGGTTCTCCTCCAAGGTCAGGTCCCGGCCTTGGCTCTGGCTCTCCTCTTCCATCCGCTCCTCGAACTCCTGCCGGGCCTTCTCCACGGACAACATCTCCTTCTCCAGCTCGTCCATGTCCCCTTTGCGCTTCTTGTACTGCTTCTGCGCGTTCTGCAGCGACTTCTTGGCTGCTTCCAGCTTCTTGATCTTGTGGGACGTGTTCTCCTTGGCCTTGATGTATTGAGGACGCTTCTGGTTGAGCTCCGAGTCCTTCTCCCTATGGAAACCCCCTCTGTGTGATGGGCTCCAAGAGAAGAGCGGAGCCCTTGCCCTGCATCCTGCTGCTCCTCACTTGATCTCCTTCTCGATCTGCTGCTGCTCCCTCATCATCTTGCCCAGCTCCTTCTTGCGGTCCTTCAGCTCATCCTCCACCCTGTCCATCCTCTTCTTGTCCTTATCGATCTCCCTGTTCTTCAAGCCCAGCTCCTTGTTGAGCTTCTCAATCTCTGCTTCGTTGTGGTAGAGCTTGAAGAGCTGGAGCTGGACCTGAGCTCTCACCACCTCGTCCTTGAGGCGCTGGTACCGGTCAGCCTAAAGAGCCGACAATGCGGGGTCAGTAGGGGGGGGATGAAGGG